ACAACATCAGAACAAGTAACAATGAGGACTCCCCCTTGTGTGTCGATCACAGCAGTGCCGTCTCCATGTTAATCCTCCACTTCCCCGTCACAGGTACCGGTCCAGCACCACCAGTTGGACATCGAGCCATCGGTTCATCACCCCCCTCACCACCCTGCCTGCATGTACCGTTCAACCAGCTTCTGGTCCAGCAGTGATGGTGCATCCTTTCTTGACCATATCATTGCTGCACTGATACCCTCGGGCTCAATGATGATGACTTCACTGGCCTGTCCATCACGCCCTGCACGCCCGCTCTCCTGTCCATAATCCAGCAATGATCGCGGCCGTCCGACGTGGATGATGCTGCGGATGTTGGGGATGTCGATTCCCATGCCCAGTGCACTTGTCGCCACGATGACCTGGTGTTGACCTTGCTGGAAACACTCCAGTATGCCGGCCTTGTTGATCTGGTGGTGGTGATATGCCCCGCATCTCAATGTGCTTGCCATCATCGTGACCTGATTCACTGCCTGGCAGTACACCACCCCCTTACCTTCTCCCGTCCATCTCATGCGGTCCTGGATGAACCTGACCACGCTGGGTGCTTGAAACCATCGGTTGAGCCCATCGTACTCTGACCCTTCAATGATGGGTTGCCACACTCGGTATGCCACATTTGGACGGCATGTCCGCGCCCGGAACAATGATATGTCCGCTCGGGTGCAGTGCATGCGGGACCACAGCTTCTCCTCCTCACCGGGTGGCAGTGTGGCCGTCAGCAGCACCATCTGTGTCTTGGCCGCCATCAGCTTGCCGAGCTGTTGCATCTGGGGCCGGAAGTTGACCTGGTCGTTGAGCACCGTGTGGCATAACCGTGCCACCTTGATGATCCGTGACAATATTGGTGGGTAGCTCTCCGCGTCGCACCATCCATACTCCCCCCGTCCCAGCACCGCCAACGCGTCTACCAGCGCGCACTCATAATCCTCCACCTGAACCCGCTGGTTCAGCAGCTCAATGCAAAAATCCAAACATGCCATCTGCATCTTGGTTAATTTGAACTTATCTTCTTCTTCTGGCTGGGTATCTCTCTGTCCCTTCTCCTCCTCCTCTTCTTCTTCCTCAGTCATCTGCTCATCCATGGGGTCTGGGCTGATGGAGTGTCGCTGGTCGGCTCCCTCTGTGGTGGCTACCTGCCATAATACCCTCCATGTCTTGCGCTGCCGTGGTGTGAACCGGTACTGTGGGCTCGTCCATTCATGCTCGACCTGCGTTCGGGCGAAAAACATCAACATCTGCTGCCATGGCCTCACGTGCTCGGCGATGCTCTCCTCTCCTCGTCCATGTATGCCTGCAACGGGGTGTGCCGGGTCTGGTGTCGCTCTGTGCGGATGGCCTCGATGCGGACGAAGTGACCCAGCCGTGTGATGACTCGCTGGCTGGTACGGGCAACCTGACCCATGGCCTCCCAGATGGCCCTCGCGGCCAGTTCATCTGGGCACGTGGTGTCATCGTCGGGCCGCTGGACGCAGTTGACCAGATCATTGGGTGCGATGTTGGTCAAGTACACCGGCCATCTGGTCCGCCGCAGCCATGGGTTGGCTTCATCGTGCTCCCTAGGGCTGGATGACATTGCTGGTCTGCCGTTGCTGTTCC